AAAACAAGCACTGGAGAAACACCATTTTCAATGGTTTATGGTACAGAAGCCTTAATTCCAGTTGAAATAGGTGAACCGAGCACACGGTACGTTCAGGCAACGGAGAAATCTAATGATGAAGAGATGCGGGTCAACCTTGATTTGCTTGAAGGAAGAAGAGAAGCTGCATTGATAAGAATGGCAGCACAAAAGCAAGTAATTGAACGATATTACAATAGGAAAGCACGCCTCAGATTTTTCAAAATTGGGGACTTTGTGCTTAAAAAGGTGTTCCAATCTGCAAAGGCTGCTAATTCAGGAAAACTAAGTCCAACGTGGGAAGGACCATACAGAGTTCGTGACATTGCGGGTAAAGAAGCATACGAGTTGGAGACAATGGATGGCAAAGTTTTACCCTCGCATTGGAATGCCATCCATTTAAAGAGATATTACTTCTGAGAAAGTACCCACAGTTAGGTATCGCCATGTTAATTTTTTTTTTTTGAATTATTAAAGTTTTACTAACAATTTTAGATGCTAGGCAAAAACCCTAACTCGTGTCAAATGATGAGTCACGACCTGTNAAGTTCTCCTCAAGAAGTCCATACTCCCTTTCCCACATAGCAAGATCGTTCTTCAATATCTGATGTTCAGCTAAGTGGGAATCAAGGGAAGCTTTAAGGGAGTCATGAGAACTATTCAAAGCACGTATCTCGTCAGAGGAGATCCTTAAGTCAGTCTGAGCTTGAGTCAAGTTTTGCACTAACTCCCTTGCATATTCTTCTTTCTTCTCCACAAGTGCCTTAAGCTTTCTGATTTCTTCACTTGCCTTTGATAATTGTTCTGAAAATGAGTACTCCAAAAGCTCCTTATCTTTTTCAAATTGGTTTGAAGAAGCCTTGAAAAAAGGGTGCAGAATTGCAGAACCAATCAGAAAGTGACACGTGTGTAGAGCATTAAATAAAAGGTGACACATATGCAAAGCATTAATTAGAAGGGACAATTGAAGCATCAGTACTGTCATAGAATTAATTACAGCAAAAATTCCCTTTTTATGAAGATCCACTTCCCAGATATTTAATTGATAAATAAATGGAAAGTGGGGGGACTATCTGTATTGGGAAAAAACTGAATTTACATTGAAGGTGACGTGACATGACACGAGGAATGGTCAAAACATGATGATCAGTTAAGAGGCACGAGTGACAACAGATACGGGGAAAGGAAAGCTAAATAGGCACGAGAGGCAATTCGAATAATACAAGCTTCGTACCTATTTAGGTCATTTAAAGCCAAGAGATCAGAAGGCATTGAAGACATGGATATGATGACGAAAAGGAGTCCAAATTCAATATTAAATACCCAATACGTTAGAGAATTGGTATTAAATAGGAATGATTGTGTAACGTTTTATTTAATGTCATTTATTGCTCATAATTGTCTCATTAAGACTAAGGTATTACTCTTTTACTTAGAATCAACTATAAAAAGAGGAGATCATAAACATTACATTGGAATACAAACCTATTTATTGCTTATTTGTCATTCTCAAAAAGTCTATTATTTTTTTTCGTCTCCTGATTATCAGTAGCCCGAATTTCTATTTGTCTTTAGCTTTGACCAAAGAATCACATTTTTGGTTAAACACCTCCGACACTTTGGCTGAATACAGCCTAAAGCAGTTTAACAATCTTGATTTCTACGACATATCTCTTGTAGACGGTTTCAATGTCCCAATGGAATTTAGTCCAACATCTGGTAATTGTTCTGTTAGGATCAGCTGCACTGCCGACATCATAGGACAGTGTCCGAATGAACTAAGGATTCCTGGAGGCTGTAATAATCCTTGTACTGTTTTCAATACTAACGAATATTGTTGCACATCCGGTGGCAATTGTGGTCCAACCAATTATTCCAAGTTCTTTAAGGATAGATGTTCAACTTCTTACAGTTACCCTAAAGATGATTCAACTAGTACCTTCACTTGTCCGAATGGAACCAATTACAGAGTGGTTTTCTGTCCATAAATTAAATGGATGGAACATTTTTTTCCCTTAACTGATGTATCTTAGGACGTTTGAAATTTCTATGTTGCTTGGTTTATGTCATAATCCCTGCTATTTCTTAAGCTGTATTTTCAAAGTATTCACGACATTCATTGAAAATGAAATAATCAATATTTGTTTTTTCATCGGATGTCCCTTGAACGGATGTTCCATAACCAATTGAAATGGAGTAATATTCTTGTGTACACGGCAAGACCATGCGCTTGTTTTGGACATTTTTAACTTCTTTTTTTTTTTTTTTTTTTTTTTTTTTTTTTTTTTTTTTTTTTTTTTTTTTTTCTGGTTTCTCACTTGGTATCTGGTACCCAAATTGGGGTTTGATTAAATGAATTCTTGCCTGGGAGTTTCACATTAGAATTAAGGGATAAGCACTCGCTCACAAAAGTAACTCTATACTCGGAATCGAATACGCTTATATCTTTCACTTGCAGTACTATTCTCTCACTTAAACAGAGTCGTTATCTATATGGCATTATCATTTGAGAAGTCAAAATTTATTTGAGAATTTGTGTTTTTAATTATTAAAGTATTTTAAGTTACCAAACTTTGTGTAGTTTCTTAATATTTATTTGATTTTAAAAGAAAATATTTAAGAAAATGACATCCAAATTCACTCGAAAAATAGATATTCCGACTCTTCAATCCTGAAAAAGTAAAAATAAGCAGTTATTACACATGCTACACTATAGTTTCAAGATTGTTTACCTCAAAAATACGAGTAATAATTAAATTTGATTTGTGGTTTTAAAGATATGTGATTTAGTTCAATACTAATTAATAACCAAGAAGTATAACGTATAAATGAAAGAAATAAGTAAAACAAACCAGTATGCTAGATAGTCTCGACCTTGAGTTAGGTAGCCTCGAGGATGATTAAGAACATTAGAATAAGAACAATCAAGTAAAAGGACGATTCTAATGAAATATGAACCAGAAAGTAAGAGAGTATATTCTTTACTAATGATTGATGATCTTTACAAATGATTGAGGTCCCCTTTATATAATAGAGGAACCCTAAATAAGGTACATTTCTATTTACAGTAAGGAATCTTATTGGGATAGCTGTCTAACTGCATAGTACGGATTGGTACTAGGTCGTACGAATAAATTTCGGAATTTACGCCATGATCTTGGGGACGTGGCGAAAATCTTGTCCTTCTGTAACAAACTCATAACAGCACCATCTCGGAATCGGTCATACTTGGCTCCAATATTCCTCGAGCACTTAGATCTTTGATCCTCTTATTCTGCCTTCGAGCCCGAGCTTGGTTTATATCGAACTTTTATCCTCGATGTGACCTCTCGAGCCTACAAAATCGGAGGCATATAATTTTGACCGTATACAGATAGTCCCCGCATTTCTTCGAATAAAATGATAAGAAACGATTTAATTCTTGACCCTTCGATGCCTCGATCATGATGTCAATCTCGTGACGTCAGCGACTGAAGTGACTGAAAAAGTCACGTCTACATAGTTCCCAAGGCCATCAATTGAAGACGGCTGGTGGTCGGCTGTTGGTTTCCCCAAATCGTTAAGGCGACCTCTATAAATAGGTCAATCTCACAATTTCTACATCTTTTACTTTTCAAATCACTCTTAAAATTTCACCAGCTTCTTCATCTCCTCTAAGTTCACCCCTTTCCCAATTTGTTCTTAATACAACATCAACTCTTTCTCCTCTTTTAAATTTCTCAACAACAATGGCTAAAACATCTAAGACCCTTCCTCAGAAAGAAAAGTCTTCCTCATCATCGCGGCTGGCCAGAGATAGAACAATGGTGCCACCTCGTATCGAGGAGTGCATTCCCGGGCCATGCGAAATAACCTCTGATTTTAAAATCGATAAACCTGCGTCGACACCAGGCTGATGTGAGCCCATGTCTCGATACATCTGCTTGATCACTAAAGATGAACTTGAGCATGTAAAAAACAATTGCAATTGAGAGAATAAAGACGTTGTGATCCCCTCCCCCGAAGAGGACATTACCACCCATAAGATAGGATACTTAAGCGTGTATACCTATCTTTTTACATTGGGTCCCGTAGATCCATCACTGGGCCCCGTAGATCTAGTCATTCTTGATTTTTGCCAACAATAACAAGTGACGCTTGGCTAGATCTATCATTCTTTCTGGTGCATCGTCAATTTGATCAGATATTTCTCGGGCCTGGTCGAGGGGATGCCTTTTACCCTCGACCACCTGGTCAGGCTATACAGCTCTCGCCTTTATCGAGGTGGTCTAATAAAGATGCAACACCGATCCTCGAAACCTCCTTTCTCCAGCATCGATGAGCATAAGGACCGAGAATGGATGAGCCGGTTCGTCTGACTCAGGACCTTCGATCTGATTCCTGCTGAGAGGATGCCATTCCCCAAGGAGTGGAACATGAAATGTAAGTACAAATTTATCAATGGTGAGTAATATTCCGCTTTCCCTATTTTTTCTCGATCTAACTCCCTTTTGATGATATAGCCGCATGTTGGTTCCGTGGTGCGGTTCTGGACCTAGCAGGTTAGGTCCGACAACTGACCTCCATCTCTTCATACACGGAACAGAGTTGGCATGATTTGGCCAAGGGTCGGTGGGAAGCTAAGAAACACGGTGAGTTCCCTTGTTCATATACTGGTGTTTCTCAGTAAATACTGACTTACTCTTATGCAGGCCTCGAAGACGATGTTGCTATGTGGCCGCCACCGTCCGGAGAAGAGGAAATTCCAAAGCCAGCCAAGGAGAAGAAAAGAAAAAGGGGGTCGCCTGCAAGTTCCCCGAAGCCAAAGAAAAGCAAGGCTCGAAATCCTAAGGCCGATTCCGTGTCCCTATCTCCAGAAACGGCCCAACGCCTTCGGGATGTGGATGAAGAGGGAGAAGATGATAGATGCCTATTGATAGCTCGGAAAAGATGAAGCATTGACGCTTCAAAGACCGCTGAACTGATGGTGGCTGGTACGGTTCAATCTCAAACCGAAGAAATTTCGGAGGGGAGCTCGAGCAAAGTCCCCGAGCTATCATGTGGAAAAGGTGCATCTCGTCTCGGGGGACATTTGGTGGGAGAGCTCGAAGAGCCTAATTCTAAGGCCCTACAAAGAGAGGATAATATCCCAAGTGAATCACTTGGGATAATCAATGTAGATGACTCACCGCCAGGCCCGGTGTTCTCCAAAGGGCAATCCCGAGATGCTCGGGCCATGAGGACTCCTCATGTGGGAATGACCCATGAAGGGAGTGATATTTTTTAGGAGTGCCTTGCGGGGATCGAAGATGGTCCCGATCCTGATGCCTCATTTATTTTCAATGAGGCCCAAAGGCTTCTCAAACAAGTAACTTTTTGTCTTCATAATTATGCTTCGAGTTTAATTCTCATCTTTCTAAGTCTAACTCTTTTTCTTTGTGAAAAGGTCATGTTGCTTCACCAACAAGCATTTACCAAATCTTGGGTCGAGCTTACCCGATGCGAAGCCGAACTCAAGAAGCTCGTGGAGGAGAGGGCAACCTAAAGATCCTTTACGTTAAAAAAGATGGGGAGATCAGCGATCTCCAATTCGAATTGGTGAAGGCTTGTTAAGAACAGACCTAGCTTATTGAAAAGGTAATATAACCTTTGAGGGCCTGTAATGCATTTACTTGATTTGGCGACTAACACTTCAACTTTGTAGGCCCAACAAAAGGGCGAGTTGGTGGAGCAGCTTCGAGAAGAGCTGAGACGAAAGAGGCCGAGACCTTAGGGTGGAGGCAACACATGGACCGTCTCGCCTCAGAGAAAGATACACTTCGGGAACAACTAACTTCAATCGAACACCAACGCCAAAATGCAAAGGATGAAAACTTGGTCCGGAGTCGCAAAATTGAGGAGCTCGAAGCTAAATCAGACGCTGAGCTTGCGAAGGCCAAATCTGAGGCAGAGGCATTTGTATCCTCGTACTGAGCTGACGCCAAAGCTGCTAACACTTGGGCACAGGAGATCTCCATTGCGGCTGAAGCTAAGTTATCATGTGCTCTTGACCATGCCAGGCGATAGTCTCGGAGAGAAACTCTCGAGGAGGTGCGCGCTCGTGGCTTTGACCTTGTGAATATAAGGAATTCCATGTGAATATAAGGAATTCCCTTTATTCTTGCTTTATTTCCAATATGTATTGAATTCTACTTCGTCTTCATTTGTGAAAAGTTTTGATGTTACAACTTCAATGATCAAGTGAGCACTGGTTCGGACTCAGAATAAACCCTTGGGTTTTTTAGTGATCAGTGGGAGATCTTTGAACTTATAATAATAGAATACCTCTTAAGGTTTTTTGTTAATCCTCAAGCAATGCTTAAGTCAATTTGATGTGAGCCTGGGGTGATGGGACTCTTGAGTTCGAGTTGAGTGAGAGCAAGGTCTCAAACTCTACATGTTTCGGCCCTTAAGCTCTTTTTATATTGGCCCTTAGGATCTTTTAGGTCAGCCCTTAGGCTCTTTAAGTTGGGCCAATTTGGCCTCTAAGACGGCTATAATTTTCCCCTCTTTTCGGCTAAAAGACTTTGTGAAAATTTCTTTATGCCTTAGCATGTATTTTTTTACCCGTTGGGTTTTCGAAGGTTCAATCGATCGGTACCTTATTTGTAATCCATTTGTGTTACGATAATTTAACACCTCTCGAGGCTTTTCTGAAGGCTGATGTTATCTAAGCCTTTAAATTATTCGAGGGTTGATATTATCGAAGCCCTTTTTTATTTGATTTTGCCGAGGGTAGCCTGACTTAACCCGTTTTTTCAAAGTATTAGAAGGACTTTAACTTATGGCGGAAGTCGGTCGTATCCGAGCCGCATTATTTCGGTCGTAGCCTTTTTTTATATGACCGTAGTCTTTAATGTGGTTGTAGCCGTTGATATAGACGTAGACTTCGAGTATGTCTCTTGAACTTGTTTTCCGATAACCCTTCGAACTTGTTCAAAAGGTTAGTCCCCGAGTATGATGGCCTTGGCTTTTATGTCGAAAGGATGCCTTTTTGAGGTCTTATGAATTCAAGTTTAGATGACTCGACTGCGTTGACTATCGATGAAAGTCCCCGAGTATTCGAGATGTATTTGCGTTTTGGCCCTTGAGGCGTTTCTTGCAAAATCACAAGTATGATGTTCATATAGTAGAAAATTTCTTTGGGACAAAAAATGTTTTGATATAGAAAAAATGCTTCTTTGAATAATTGATACATGCGTACATGTTTTGCCGTCGTGGCATGACTCATCTGACCATTTGGACCATTACAAAGTTGTCCTATCGAGGCCCTCTTTGGCATGAAGTATTTTCCTTGAAAATATAATCTCCGAGGGTGATGACCCCCAGTATTCGAGGTTTATTAAAAAGAAGCCTTGGATATTGTTGAGTTCTCCTTAGGTAGCACATAGTTGTTGCCTCGTTAAAAACCTCACCGGTAAAACCCATTTGGGACAAAATCCGATCTAAGGAAAAAAGAGTGCAACGCGTGCTTTAAAACCTAAAGTCTTCGTGTAAAAAGGTGCTCTCAATGTCTTTGATTGAACACTTGGAATGAGTTAGTTTTAAATTCAAATGGACAGAAGGAGAAAGTCATACCTTAGCAGTAGTATTGTTTGAGTAGTGATACATTCCAATTGTTCGACAGTTGTTCGCCTCCCATCATGTCAAGTTTGTAAGATCCTTTACCGACAACTCCGAAGACTCGGTACGGTCCTTCCCAATTCGGGCCTAGTTTCCCTTCATTCGGGTCTCGAGTATTGAGGGTGACCTTCCATTGAACTAAGTCCCCGATATCGAAGTGTCGAAGGTTAGTCCTTCTATTATAATATCTCTCGATTCTTTGTTTCTGCACCACCATCCGAAGAAGTGCAACATCTCGTTTTTAATCTAATAGCTCGAGGTTGGTGTTCATAGCCTCGTAATTTGATTTCTCCGATGCATGTTGAAACCTGGCATTGGGTTCTTCGACCTCGACTGAGATTAAGGTCTCGGAGCCATATACTAAAGAGAACGGAGTAGCCCCCGTGATGGACTTCGATGTCGTTCGATATGCCCAAAGGACCTCGGGTAGAACTTCTCTCCATTTTCCTTTTGTATCGTCCAACCTTTTATTTAGGTTTCAAATGATAGTTTTGTTTATTGACTCAGCTTGTCCGTTCCCGGTTGGGTGGTACAGTGTTGATAAAATCCTCTCTATTTTGTGTGCTTCAAGGAACTCCATTACCTTGCTGCCGATGAATTGCTTGCCATTGTCGCATATGATTTCGGCAGGTATCTCGAATCGACACACGATAAGGTCCCAAATAAAGTCAATAACTTCTTTTTCTCTGACCTTCTCGAAGGCCTGTGCTTCCACCCATTTAGAAAAGTAGTCAGTCATAAACAAAACGAACTTAGCTTTACCTGATGTAGACATGTAATTTTTGACCCTCCCCAAGATTTTACACATTTTAGTGTTAAATATTTAGTTTAGGTCTAGTATAGCTATTTCAACTAGTTTTGACTCTTTTACTTTATTTTGTCACAAAAATAAAAATTACAAAAATATTTTTCTTTTATTTAGGTAATTGATATTTTATCTTGTTACTTTTAATTTATCTACCTTTCATAAAATTCAAAAATACAAAAGTAGTTCCACTTGTTTCAGGAATATTAGTAGTTTGGTAGGAATATTATTTTAATTTTTCAATGATTTTAATCTAATTTCATTTTTATCTTTTAGTATGATATTTGAAAAATACCAAAAATAGGCTTGTTTTAACGGTCAGTTTTATTAGTTATTTTACTTAAGTAGGATTAATTAGTAAATGAGGTAGTATTTTTATTCTTATCCAATGAGAAATAATAAAATTTGGGCTCATACAATCCATTTTTTAGGCCCAATTTTTGGATTAGCCCATTAAGCCCAATACCCACTAACCCTTCTCTAACCCTACAAACCAAAAAGAAGACCCCCCCAGTTGTTCTTCTTCTGAACCTAGAGGATCCCCGCAGCCGTTTTCCATTTCATTCTTCTACATAACCCCTGAACCTTAGAGAGAACCAGTCACCGCTGCCGTCTCATCTACAAGGTCCAGCCGTTCTTCATCTCTTCAACTCACAACCCCTACACACCCTTAGAACCAAAAAGCCCCAAAACGCCAATCTCTTTCACATAAAACCAGTCGTTTAGTCTCTTCCACCAACAACACCAGCCATTCCTCCATTAGTTAGGAATTCAAAACACGCTGAAGCAACAGTGAAACAGAAGCAACGAGATCATCTCCTTCACATCCAAAAAACCGCTGCCGCGTCCAGTCGCCCTAAGAACCGGTCGCCCACTCCCTGACCACCAATCACTAGTAGGCAGACCCCCTCATCTCTCACACAAAAGAGAACCCAACCAGCAGATATAAAAAACCAAAAAAAGCAAGTAACAGAGAAACAGAGGAAGGGAACGTCGAAAATAGAACAAGGGATTCAGGGGTTTTGGCTTTCATTCTCTGATTTTGTTTTAATTCATTGATATAATAAAATAATAAAAGAGATTTCAATTGGTTTTATCTTCATTTTTTATTTCACACTAGAGATACATAAAGAAAATTTAGGCTACTCTTTGGGGTCTTAGTTCCCGAAATAGGTTGGAGTTGAAATGGGTGTTCGATCGTTGGAGTTGTCGTCCGAGGTGTGGTATGTTGGTTTCGTTCGGGTTGGATTTGATGTTTCAAACTTCATTCGTAAGGTCTATCTCTTTTCATTCCTTTTATTAATGCGTAGATACATTTCGTGTTCTCGTAAGTTTGAACCTACTATAATTTTAATCTTGGTTAGCCTTACTGTCATTTTGTTTAAGTTGTTCTTTGAATGGTTGAATTATATTTTATAATATCTGTTCTATACACTTGTAAATGAAAACATGAAGAGATTAGTTTGAATGGAAATGGCGTCACTTTGAAGTGTTGGGTCGGGAAAATAATCCATGAAAAATCGGATTTGGCTCTTGGTCATAAACTGTGAATCAAAATTTATATTATTTTATTTTATTCTTATTATTTTTGATCCCTAGTAGCATGCTAGACCGACCACACTTGGTTAGGCAAGCCTTAGGATTTTTATTGGATTTCGAGGTGAGAGGTCGTTCCCTTTAGTTAAATTTATCCGGGGAATGCCCCGAAGGATTTGTACATATTTTATCCTGGGGAATGCCCCTTAGTATTCTATAATTCGAAGCCGTGGTGAACATCATAGAAGAAGTAGCGTAGGATAATTTATGTCACGACCCGGATTTTCTACCCTCCAGAGTCGTGATGGCGCCTACTAATGTGAGCTAGGCAAGCCGACTATTGAACAAATTACCTTTTTACCCATTTTATACTCTTTAACAATTATAAAGCAATAACGTGTAAACAGCGAAAATTTCAATAAGTGGAAGAAATGCAGTAAACTATCTGAAATATGTATCTAATACAACTGTTTGAGCCTCAACCACCCAGGACTGGTATCAAAGTTTCACAGACGATCTAAGAATACTACATACAAAGTCTGAAAGATAAAAGATACATTGTTTTTGAACTAAAGAAATGAAACAGGAGTAAAGAGATAGAGGGAGACGCCAGGGCCTACGGATGCCAGTAGGACTACCTTGGATCTCCGCGTGGACTAAAGGCAGCCTCCCATTCTACGGTCCAAAAGCTGATGCTCCGGAGTCTGCACACAGTGCAGAGTATAGTATCAGCACAACCGACCCATATGCTGGTAAGTGCCTAGCCTAACCTCAGCGAAGTAGTGACGAGGCTAGGACCAGACTACTAAATAAACCTATGCAATTTAACTATATACAATGGAAAAGATGAACAGTAATATACAGTTAATTATAGGAGGGGTAACATGCTGCGGGGGAACTATCAATTTAGAATAGAAAGACAACAGGTAATTGAAAGAAACAACATATCACAGATATCAACAAAGAACCAGAATTCAGTAAGTGTACGGCATCACCCTTCGTGCTTTTACTCTCGACCTCACCAAAGCAGTCAAATAATGAAAATGTGCACGGCACCACCCTTCGTGATTTTACTCTCGTCCTCACCATATAATCAATGTAATCGGCACAAAATGGTACATCGTGCAGCACAACATCACCCTTTGTGCTTTACACTCTTTCCTCACAAATCATACACGACATCACACTTCGTGCTTTAACACTTTCTCACCAAAACAATACACGACATCACCCTTCGTGCTTTATCACTCTTCCTCACCCAAATAACAATCACAAACAATAGGGCAAGAGACTAAATGAAACTACAATAAGAATCCCGGCAAGGGAACAATAGCTCAAGAATCAAGTCCCGACAAGGGAACAACATCAAAAGAAATAATAACATCCCAGCAAGGGAGATAACATCAAAAGCAACAATATCCCGGCAAGGGAGTTAATATAATGATTCTCTTCTCTTTTTCACTTTTACTTCATAACTCACTTCACAACTTTGAGCCAATGCTCTAAAAGGTTCAATTTCCACTTATACTTTCACATTTCATTGTACAACTCGAGCAAACGCTCCTTAATGTTTAAATGTCACAATTACTTCCACAAATTTTGCCCAACAATAGAAATCATCATCAAAGCATGAATAATACAACGAAGCCATAATAAACACAATATAAGACTCACGGGCATGCTTGACACCAACGTATAGATACTCGTCACCATGCCTATACGTCGTACTTGACAAATACCACATAGCAAATAGGACTCGACTCTTAATCCCTCAAGCTAAGGTTAGACCAAACACTTACCTCGATGCCAGGAACACAATTCAAGTCTCTACTATCGCTTTACCTCTTGATTCTACCACCAATTTGTTCGTATCTATACACAAGTTACTTAATTACATCAATAAATGCTAAATGAATCAATTCTAATGCATGAAAATAAGTTTTCCAAAGTTTTACCCAAAAAGTCAAAATATCGCCCCCGGGCCCACATGGTCAAAACCCGAGGTTCGAACCTAACCCCGATTACCCATTCCCCCACGAACTCAAATATATAATTTGTTTTGAAATCAGACCTTAAATTGAGGTCCAAATCCCCAATTTTTGAAAAACCTAGGTTCTACCCAAAACACCCAATTTCCCCCATCAAAATCATTGATTTTGAGTTGAAATCATGTGAAAAGATGTTAATGATTGAAGGAAACGAGTTAAAATTGACCTACAATCAATTTGGAAGAAGAGTTATCTTTGAAAAATCGCCCAAGAGTGTTTTGATTTTGAAAGAGTGAAAAATGAATGATTTTTGGTTAAGTTATAAAATTGCAGGTTGTAGATGTCGCATTTGCGACCAGGGTTCGCAATTGCAAACCCAGACTTCTGCTAAGTTCGCATTTGCAAAGATGTTCTTGCATTTGCGAGTTGGGAATAGCGAACAACTTGTCGTATTTGCGACGACTGGCTAAAATAGGGGGGATCACATTTGCGATAAAATCCTCGCAATTGCAAGGTAGGCTGGCCTGGGCTACATTTCGCATTTGCGACATGGCTCTCGCATTTGCAAGCCAGGCTTCGCAAATGCGAAGCCTGCAGGCCTGCATTGAAACAACTGAAAACCTGCAATTCTCCAAGTCCAAAATTCACCCCGTGGCCTATCCAAAACTCACCCAAGCCCTCGGGCTCCAAACCACATATGCACACCAACCTAAAAATATCATACGGACTCGCTCGTGCATTCAAATCACTAAAATAACATCAACAACTATGAATTTAGCATCAAAATCATGAAATTTCTTAAGAACTCAAATTTTCCAATTTTCTCAAAAATGATCCGATTCACGCCATTTCAAATCTGTTTCTTACCAAAATTTACAAACTTATCTTAAATCACATATAAGACCTGTACCGGATGACGGAACCAAAATACGGGCCTGATACCATCAAATTTTAAACACCTTTCACTTCCAAAACTCGTAAACAATTCCAAAAAATAATTTTCTTTAAAAATTCATTTCTCGGGCTTTGGACCTCGGAATTGGATTCCGGGCATACGCCCCAGTCCCATATTTTCCTACGGACCCTCCGGGATTATCAAATTATGGGTCCGGATCCGTTTACCCAAAATATTGACCGAAGTCAACTTAAACTCATTTTAAAGGCAAAATTCATCATTTTTCACAGATTTACACAAAATGGCTTTCCAGCTACGCGCCCGGAATGCGCATGCAAATCGAGGTGATGCCGAAAGATGTTTTTAATGCCTC